TATACAATGTCTTAGCGCAGTGGTTTGACCTTCCTTATGGTTCAATTCACGGCTGATGGTTGTATGTTGAATATCACAACTGATGCCATTTCTGCTATCACTCGACTGATAAACTGTAGCAGGCGGCTAAAACTTGACAAGACTGGCCATGAACCAACATATGGATACAATGCAAAAATCGGTTCAAGCCGTGCTTCCGGACGGGAAGATCACATCGGATTCGAATCTGCGAGCACTTGAAGGCAAAAGATGGCGGCTTAAATCCCTGCTGTGAAAGCAACTCGGACTCTGGAGGCACATCTTCAACTATACAACTCGCATTTTGATTGGCCAGTCAGACTCATGAGGTTGCAGTTCCAACCTCGTGCCCAGCCAATCGGGCCCTCTGGTCAGCATCGCGCATCTCACCATATTCCACCCGGGCGCTTAACAGAGGAGACGAGTGGTGATGGCCAAGCAACTCTGCAACACCATTGGCTACGCTTTAGATGCTGGTAGTGATTGGCATACTGGGTGTCACTGCAGACGCCCGCCTCTCGCCTTTTGGTTGCCGCTCACAGGCCCTTTTCACACAGCATCACACTTATTGCAGTGGTAAGAGCGGTTTTCTTCACAGGCCATGAGCCTCTCACAGCTGGGGAAACCCTTGCGGCCCCCTCACTAGTTTACTGTATTCGTATGCGGTTCCCTCTTCAGCCGATCCGTCGCACTTTGGCTGGCCGCCTGGAAGGCCCTTAAACGGCTGCCCACCCCCAACCTGGCCACCTGAACGGCTTCTTTTCATCTTCAACTGAAATTCAAAGCTGCAGGCCAGCCATAGCGAGGAACAAACTTGAAGAGCTTCAACTACTCATAAGGCTCTGCAACGATATCGCATGTGTAACCGAATATAGCTGCTCCGCTAGCAGCCAACAACGAACGAAACTACAGTCAGCCACCTGAATAAGATCAGATATACAACACCGATAAGATGAAGCTTCCCGTTCTTGGCCGCTCATCTCAGGAGCACATGGATAAACCAGCAAAGTCACGGACGTATAAAATTCTCTTTCGAAAATGGCCCCGTCCAGCGAGGCTAGCAACTTGGTGGTTGATGGTTCTTGAGTTGCTCGGAGTTGTGCCCGCCCTGGTCATCTTTGGCATCTCTCAGCCTGATCTCTACCGAAGCGACATGTGGAGGATTGGTTGGGAGCATGATCCTCCGCTCAATTCAAACCCTGCCATGATTCTTTACGCATATGCCAACCATCGACCTCTGCCCAAGGTTGCCCTGGTCTGGACAAGAACGTAAGTTGCCTCGAAAGGCCATCAAATGAATACTGTCTAACATGAACAAGGTTTACGGACTTCAATGTGGCCATCTCGGTTATCTCTCTCTTCTTCCTTCTCGGCAAGCTCACAGCTTTTATCATGAGATGCTGGTACCCGATCTTTGCCACTTTCATCAACGTGAGCTTGGTCGCTCTCTACACTGTCAGCACCTACGGAACTATCGGACCCGACTTTGCCGACCCACGATATCCTGCACCCGTAGCCTGGTACTACCGCATTGGGTGCGACATCTCAAAGCGTTACGGAAAGTACAGCAGCTGCATGATTGCCAAATACTCACTTGTGGTGTGTGTATACATGCTGTAAGTTGCACTTTAAGAAGATGAAATGTAACTGTACTGACAATTGTGTAGCGTTGTTTATCTATGCAACCTCGGCTTCTCAATCTACGCCCTGCTTCCTAACAAGATCAACGATATTTCTGACGATGATGAAGAAGAAGAGGGATCCACGACTTCGGAGCCGAAAGAGAGAGGTGTCTGGGAAATGCACAACATGAAGACACCTGATGCTCAAGCGATGCCATACACTCCTCGAACACAAGCGTTCCACACTTTGGATCGCCAGCTGCCACTACGGGCACAACAGACCAGATACAGATGAACGAATATTGAGGGATAATGACTGGAAAATGTCTATGGCTGGACTACTATCCTTAATTAGCATGAGGTGTTTGGAGTTTGGGATGATATGGAATACCAAGAAACAATCTTTGAAGCCCAATGAGGCACAACTTTCATACTGCTATATACTATCTATTTATCTAGCTTGAAAACACAAGCAGCTTCTCAAAATGTCAAAAAGATGTCTCTAAGTTTCAGGATAACGGACACAATGGGCCCCGGGCTGCTCTGCATTGTAATTAAACGGGCATCCCACTTAAAAGCCAAGAGTTTGGGTAAGTTCTCATGATCTAGTCTTATGATGCTCTTATTCTTTATTAAACGATAAACTAAGATTTATTATATCCTTATCCCTATGACTGGAGAGGCTTGCCCATGCCTCCATATGTAATCATCTTTGTAATCTGGTACTCGCTGGTACCGTACAAAGATCCCTCACGACCGAAGCCACTCTCCTTAACACCACCGAAGGGTGCAGCAGCATCAGAGATAAGACCAGTGTTGACACCAACCATACCGACCTCGAGAGACTCAGCGATACGGTGCACACGCTCGAGATCGCGAGAGAAGAAGTAACCTGCCAGTCCGACCTCGGAGTTGTTGGCCATCTTGACGACCTCTTCTTCTGTCTCGAAGGGGAAGAGACCAGCGACGGGTCCAAATGTCTCTTGAGAGGCCATGTCCATCTCGGGAGTCATGTCGCGGATGACGGTAGGAGCGTAGAAATTGGAGCCAAGATCGTTGAGTCGCTTGCCACCAATGGTAATCTTTCCACCCTTCTTCTCAGCGTCCTTGACATGAGCTTCGACTTTGTCAATCGCCTTATCGTGGATCAGAGGACCATGTGTAACACCCTGATCGAAACCGTTTCCTACGCTGAAAGACTTGACCTTCTCGGTGAACTTGGACACGAACTCATCATAGATACCGCGCTGGACATAGATTCGGTTAGCACAGACACAAGTCTGGCCTGAAGATCGGAACTTGGAGGCGATAGCTCCGGCCACGGCAGCGTCGACGTCGGCATCATCAAAGACAATGAAAGGAGCATTTCCGCCAAGCTCCATAGAGAGCTTCTTGAGAGTACCGGCTGACTGCTTCATGAGAAGCTTGCCGACTCCGGTAGAACCGGTGAAAGAGACCTTGCGGATGGTGGGGTCAGAAGTGAGAAGCTCGCCCAGCTCAGGAGTGTTTTCGTGAGAAGTCACAACGTTGACGACACCCTTGGGGATTCCTGCGCGGTGTGCTAGTTCAGCGAGGGCTAGTGAAGTAAAGGGTGTCTCGGCGGGAGCTTTTGCGACAACTGTACACCCTGCGGCCATAGCAGGTCCGATCTTTCGGGTGATCATGGCAGCAGGAAAGTTCCATCTAGAGAGGTCAGCATCTGACTTGAAGTAAAAGACATGCTGTCTTACGGTGTGATCAAGCCACAGACTCCAACAGGTTCCTTGATTGTCCAGACACGGTTTCCGGGTACCGAGCTGGGAATTGTATCACCGTATACTCGTGGAGCCTCCTCACTGAACCACTCGAGGAAGTTCGCAGCATAAGTTGTCTCGCCCTTAGCATCAGCAATGGGCTTTCCATTCTCCCATGTGATAATCTTTGCGATATCCTCCGCGTTGGCGGTCATCTCGTCGTACCAGGCACGCAAAAGCTTAGAGCGCTCACGGCCTGTCTTATTGCGGAAGGAAGGGAACGCATCGGCGGCTGCGCGAATGGCTAATTGAGCGTCTTTGGAATCGAACTCGGGGCAGGTTCCAATGAGGTCGCCGGTAGAGGGATCTATAATTGTTAGTGTGCGATGATTCGAAGAGGTAGTCTAAAGATTGAAGCGCACCGTTTACTTTGAATGTCTTGCCCGACTTGGCCTTGACCCATTCGCCGTTGACGTAACAGACATCCTGCTTGAGAAGAGAAGGATCTTTGAGCTGGAGATTGTTAGTCTACGTTCAAATGAATGAATTGTGGGGAGTTAGTTACTTGCCTTTGGAGGAGAAGCGTTGGATGCTTTTCGCGTAATCATCAAGGTAATAGCTGGGGACTGTCGCAGCGCACCTCGCGCCGAGGGAGCAACAAGACGTTGAAGCAGAGCCATCTTGACTATCTACCTGACTGCCAATTGAGATTTCCGCAGTCAATTAATTCGAGATATCAGCAGTCAAGAAGGCCAGGCTATAATTATTGACTGTCGATGATGATGAATGGAAATGTAATGACAATCAAGTTGGTTTAGTGATGGCGGGGTGACGTCTTGTTAAAGCTACCCGCCCGGTTCAGAGCTTGTGTGGGGTAAGTCCCGGAGCCGGCATCTCTAATCTCGACGCCAAAATCGGCTCCGGCAGAACCGGTAACGAGAGGCACGGCCTGTTACTGCCAGTCACCGAGAAATCCCTTTACAATGAGTCAGTGCGTTACGCATTTTAGTCCTTGCTACCGTTTATTAGCTTCCAGGAGTTTTGACACCGGCAATCGCTCATGGTTTCCCCATATTTTAACGATTGACCGGGCCGCCGTTCATATTGACAAAATAGGCAAGTATTCGCGAAAGATAAGTTACCATATGAAAATGTAGTAACAGTGCAATGATGCTCTCCATGCCATAATCTTTAGATCCTGCGTGTATGTAGTTGTCAGGATACCAGAGAACTTGGCGTATAAGTGCGATGTTGGCCATGCACACCAGACCGGTCAAGGCCAGTAAAAGTATCTCTACGAACACATCTTCTTTTCTGACCCTGTAAGAAGTCCCTTGAAACTGATTTAACTACGAGTTACTTGAATAATTACTTTTGTTATCATGGCTGAACTCTGAAAGATGTCTGGTAAGTCCATTACGCTCGGTAGCATCAATCGTCAACTCAGCCTAGGTATGGACTGACAGTAATAGCGACAAGGTTTCCGGGATTCTAGCTTTTCATATTACTTGTTTATAGTAATTCGCAGTTGTTTCGGTGATATCTCAATCGGTGAGCGCGTGGTGGTGCTTCGGACCTACCGGAGCACAGAGTATATATCCCACAACAAACACCACTACACTAACAAGGTCGTGTAGTGTAGCGGTTATCACGTCAGCTTTACATCTAGATGTATACACGCGCTGAATGTCGTCAGTTCGAACCTGGCCACGATCAAATACTCGTGTTGTTGATGAAAGTATTCATATCATTCTTTTTGGCCACGTTGCTGAGTCTGCGGGGTACACCAACAGGGTGGTGTAGTAAGACTAATTGTGGGGGCCAAATGCATATGAATGTTAAATTCAGTTACATAGAGCACCCCAGAGTTATGACAAGGGCCAATGTCTGAACTCGATTAGTTTTGAGTTGTGAGCTCTTGTTCAACGATGAGTTGTTGAAGCCAACTGGACAACTTGAGTGGATGGCCATGTGGCAATTGACTGAACATCTCCCTCTGCACCTCTACTTTCAGAAAAGAATGAAAATGTTAATAATTACACGATTTACAATTGAGTTTTAATGTCATTGTATTGTTCCATCTGTTTCTGTGCTGATGATATGTTCGGAACACCTCCACTTACACTCGTCCTAGAATAGTATGTCTTATCTTATCACTAGCAAAACCCACCGTCGAACTGACGTCGTGCAGGAATTTCGATCCTGACCAAGACCTACGAAATACCTGAAACTGCTTTATCTGCCACACACTCTTTACAATGTCACTCTCACGAGCCAATGCACCTCTAAGGAACTGTCTGCGCCAGCTGGTGCGCTCAGAGGGGTATGTCCCGTCATACATTGCTTCACTACGACCTCACTAAAATCATGCAATTGATCAACTGACAGTCAACTAGACCAGCTCCTCTCCGCTCCATAGCCGCCAGCCCTCGCGCATTCAGCACATCTCCCTCACTTCTCAAGAAGCGCAAGATCACGGCGCCTGCAAACAGCCCCAACACTGCCAATGCGAAGGCGGCTGCGGGGTCTATGAACAAGGCTGAGTATGACACCGCAAAGGTGCCTATGCCTGACCCAGAGGACCCTCTCGACTTTACAGCTGTTATTGCTGCGTATCAACCCATCGATGCACACTTCAAGACTCAACTGGCGGGTATGATTCATGGTGGACGATTTAACCCTACAAACTTGGGTTCACTACCTGTTGCTGTCAAGGATGAGGAGGGCGCCGATGCTACATTCCCCCTCAGAGAGCTTGCTCAGGTTGTTCCTCGATCTGGCCGAGCTATTTCACTACTCGTCAACGATAAGGAATATATCAAGCCCATTATGTCAGCGGTTCAATCGAGCAAGGAATTCAACCAACAGCCTCAGCGATCAGAGGACAATGAGCTTGAGCTTCTTCTCAAGGTGGAGCTAGAACGCAAAGACGATGTCGAGAGACGAATCAAGGAGGCTGTTCAGCAGTGGAAGGACCGTATCCGCAATGCTCGATCACGACACGAAAAGACCCTCAAGGACTGGAAGAAGTCAGGTACCGTCCTCCCTGACATCGTCAAGAAGGCCGAGAAGGAGCTGCAAAAGGTACAGGACAAGAAGATGAAGGAAATTGACCAGGAAGAGGCACAGACAATTCGTCAACTATAGATGCACAGACTGGGGTTGTAGGATAGATGCAGAATATTTGTAGTATTACATATCGTGACAAGTGTACACTGATCCTAAGATCTAATACAGATTTCTTTTAAGCGCGAGCCTTTCCACCTTTACCACCAGCTGCGCCCTTCTTTTCCAGAAGAGACGTCAACTTTGTCTGGAACGAGTTGACGTCGTTGGTGGAGTACGTCTCAGATCGGAGATGCCATGAGCGGGACACTCCAACGGGGTCTGATGCGAACTTGGGTGTCTCGTGCTGGCCCTGGATAGCTCGCTGTGTGATGACCTGACGGATGGATTCCTCAGTGTCGGTGATGATGGGACCGGTAGACTCCTTGCCTTCGGCCTTGAGTTTCTCTTGGAGGTGCTCCTCGGCGGCCTTCTTGGCCTCTGGGTCGGCGAAGAAGCGAATACCACTGGACTCGATCTCGGAGGCGTAATATTTAGCCTGGAAGGCATGTGGCGCACCGACGTGGTCCGCTGTACCGAGAACGCTTAGGTTCTGGAGAACGGTGGCTGACTTTCCGGAGATAGTGCTTGGTGCAGCAGGGGCGAATTCGTTGATAGATTCAATTGTGAGGGATGGTCTGTACTCAGAGCGCATGCCGAATCGAATGCTGTCGTCGAACGACTGCTCATCGGGGTCCAGTTGGTTGAATTCGTTTCGGTCCCTGTTTCTATCCTTGTTTTCTTCATCGTCCCTTCGACCACCGGTTCTTCCTCCTCGTCCACCGCGTCCACCACGCCCACGGCCACCACCACCACCGCGGCCTCTACCAACAAAACCGCCTCGGCCTCTTGTCATGGGTGACCCAGTACGAACCGGCGAGGATGAGCGATCCCCAGCTGAAGATCCTCCCCTGCCAGCGAATCCACCACGTCCACGAAGACCACCACGACCCCTCAGACCTCCCCGGCCACGCATGGGCAGACTCTTTATATCAAGGACCTTGGGACCACCAGCCTGAGCTGGACGGGCGGGACGACCAGCCGGCTTCGGGGTGCTGGGGCCATCGGCGGCCTGGATCTGTGAAGTCGAGAATTGGCGGGCATAGTTTCGGAGAGCATCCGAGGCCTGCTCGAGCTCTGGCCTTGTCCGGCTGCACACCGAACGGAAGGCGTGGCGTTGCATTTTGGCGGTGGTTGTCTGATGTGGTGAAGCTGATTGTCGATGGTTTAGACGATCAATTTTCGACACCAAGAAATCGTGACTAAGCAGAGACACCCCGCATTGGCCAATCACAACTCTTGGCAGCATCTACATATGAGTTCACTATTCACCAAAAGAAACAAGTCATGAGGAGAGAGTATACAAACAAGAAACAAATTACTAGGAATTGCTTGTACTCAATTCCTGTTGCTATGCACAAAAACCAAGATCCCAGATCTTGCTATAAACCCATGAATAACTCTATAGGATTGTACCCTTCCAATCCTCCCATCAATCAATCGACCGTTTACAAAGTGCGCCAAGCATAGGCCAATCGTTCCCAAACTCCAAAGCGTATACACAGCGGCGCTGTTCTGGGCCTTGCGCGCCGTTCAGCCATTTCAGGCTGTATGTTCAGGACAGTTACGTCCGTCACTCGGAGCAGAGACCGTGACCTTTTACGGCTGTCACACCGTGATACTTGGCCACCGCGTGTTGAATGTACTTGTTCTTAGTACGAGGCCACGTGTGTAGACCTTATTCATACTCAAATTAGAGTTGATCTGTTTGTTTTGCGCTGTTTGTTCTGCTCAAAGATGACAGCATTTTCCGGGTTGCCCTCGAATTGCCGTCGTTGGTGTAAATGAATGTTTCGTAATGGAGAAAGCTGGCATAAAAAGTCGGATACGTATTTGCGATATGTACATCATTACATGCTCTGAGGCTGGATCATGGCGGGCTGGAAAAAGTTAGTGGAAGCTCAGACAAGGATTAACTTTGTAACATACCGGACTGTTGAGCATATGCTGGCGCTTGTTTCGGCTCTTCTTGATATGGCTTTTGAGAGCGCTCGAGTCGAGAGGCTTAAGCAGCTCAAAGCTACAGAGCAACTCGGCAGATACCGACATAACGGCGCCCCAGTTATCAAACTCACCGCAGTACTAAGCGCGTTAGCCGTTGATCGGGGTAATCCGGGAGGGGGTGACTTACATTGGGGGCACTGAAGACTGTCACCAAAACCCTATCGTTGAAGAATTCATAGCCATCCTCAACCACCATGTGTGCTCGACAGATAAGATCAAAATCGTGTACTGCCAAAAACTCCGTAATAACCCGTTTACCAAAACAATAACTAACGCCTCTTTCATTTGCTTCCCAATCTTGCTCCATGTCTGCGGGGTCTGACCAAAGAAGATCGTTGAGTAGTCCATAGTCGGGGACATCAGTAGGTCGAGCAATGTTTCGGATGTCGTCCATGTGAACTAGCGCTGGTGACAATCCTCCGTGAACACAGAAGATCTTGCCGGCGACAATCGCGGCAATAGGAAGAGTGTTAAAGCAGTCAATAAACGTCTTCCAGATTTTGACATTGCACCTTCGCTTGCATTCATCGTAAAAGCCGTAAACTCGTGTGACATTGGCGCATTCGTGGTTTCCTCGGAGGAGGAAAAAGTTCTCGGGGAACTTGAGCTTGTAGCAGAGGAGCAGCAGGATAGTCTCAAGCGACTGCTTTCCTCGATCAACGTAGTCGCCAAGGAAAAGGTAGTTTGAGTTTGGAGGGAATCCACACATCTCGAACATTCGGATAACATCGGTGTACTGTCCGTGGACATCACCCACAACCTTGACAGGCGCATCCAACTCCAACAAAGCGGGCTGCGACAAGAAAACTTCTCGTGCTCTCTGGCAGATAGCAACAATCTCAGCGTTCTTGAGACAGACGCTCTTTGTAACCTTTCCAGCGTAGCCCGCATCCAAGAGTCTCTTAATGAAGTCGTCGAGATCGATATCCTTAATTTCAGACATGGCGACGTTGGAGTTGCCCTCAACCTTGGACTCATCAGACGGACTAGCGTTGACTGGATTGATGGTGTTCTCGCGCTTAACCAGAATCGACTGTCCTGGAGCTTGCATGTGCGCATTGGCTCCAGCATTGACAGAAGGAGGCTGATCCGAAACGTGATCGACTTCTCCCGATGCTTGCGCGGCACTAACATCGTGGTTGCCGCCTTTGGTGTTACCGTGGACGGGAGAAGGAGGAGGCTGGTCCTCCCCGACGGCGGAATCTGCAACGGCCGACTCGGATGCTGACATGTCTGTTCCGGCGGTGTTGAGGGGAGGGAGCTCGCTACGGCTCAGTCGGGACGAGCTTGAACGTCCATGCCTACTGGAACGTCTTTCCTCGCTCTTAGATTCGATCGGATTTTCGCCGTTGGACAGGACCCTTGAGTTCCTAGGGCTGTCTGACTTGCTGCTGCTGCGGATCTTGGACCCTAGGGAACGGAACGAGCGAGAGGATTCCTTGGTGTCAGACCGACTAAAAGACGGGTAAGACTGAAGAGGTCCATCAGGCCCGGCAGAGCCCTTGGAGCCAGATCCGCCTTGGCTGGAGTTGTTGTTTCCCATGGTA